ATCAGGGCATGGCTAACTCACAGATTGAACCCTGAAACATCCTCTGGGCTGATCTAAATCAGGGCATGGCTAACTCACAGATTGAACCCTGAAACCATCCTCTGAGCTGATCTAAGTCAGGGCTAACTCACAGATCAAACCTTGAAACAACCCCTGGGCTGATCTAAGTCAGGGCTAACTCACAGATCAAACCTTGAAACAACCTCAGGTCTGATCTAAGTCAGGGCTAACTCACATATCAAACCTTGAAACAACCCCTGGGCTGATCTAAGTCAGGGCTAACTCACAGATCAAACCTTGAAACAACCTCTGGGCTGATCTAAGTCAGGGCTAACTCTCAGATCAAACCATGAAGCAACCCCTGGGCTGATCTACTTTAAGTCAGGGCATGGCTATCTCAAAGGTTATTTATTTTTCTGAAATAAAAAATAAAAAGAATCCAAGTGTAGTAAGAAGTTACTTACCTTGCTAGCTATCAGGTAAGGTGGAACAATCTCAACATTAGTTTCTTCAAACATCTGTCGGCACTGTGCAGTGATGAAATCCCCTGCTAACGGAGACTTGACGATGGCTTGTTGTAAGACATATCCATCATGAACAGGGACAGCACTTGTTTGGGTGGCACCAGAATCAATCACTAAACCATTTGACCTAAAGTAAGATTATCAAATATATATGACATAAAATTCTTTTTATTTATTTTTTCTTTTATTTAACCATTATGATATATAAGGCCAAACAAAAAAATAGGTGTGTTCCCTGTTGCAAAACCGACCCTAATTTTCTTGCCGATTTTTGCCCACTCTAATTTTTTTTCATTCTCAAATGCACCACAGGGTTCCCAGTGAGCTCATTTCCACAGAACTTGTATCAGCAAAAAAAATCTGACCTACTGACCCCAATTATTTTTCTCATGCAATAGGAAACCCAGTTATTTTTTTGTTTGGCCTAACTATTCATGTTGTTTAAAGGTTTTTATTTTTCCACACACAAAAAGCAAAGAATTACAAATAGAACTTAAGAAAGAAGCGGAAAGGTGCAGGAGGAACAACCCAAAAGGGGTTAACTAAGAAAGATCCTGCACCAATGTAAACAACTTTAAAGAAATAGTGAATGGCGGAATATTATACTTACAATAAAATAGTAAAATAGAAATCAAGCATTTTTAAGGTGAAAACAGTTACGGTTTAAAGATTTACATTTACGAGTTAGATATAAGAACTTGTAGTTTACTGAGATATGAGGTATTTTTTGAAATTTGTACGAAAACTTTTAAGCGATAAACTATTTTTGATTTCAAGAGGAACATCGTTCCAGTTTACTCCAAAAGGCATTTTGGAAAATGACATAATTATTCTCTGATGTATTAATTGGAGATACATAGTAAATACAAAATATGTGTTAAAAGCCTCCACGCTCTCTGTCAATGTGACGATGTATAAACATTCCACGAATTACATCACTACATACATCTAATTAACATACAGTACCATTTTGGTCTCAGCTTCTAAGTTTTATGTTTTGAACCTGACAATGGTTTTGCAATAGCCCACCTCCGAGATATGCTTCGCTTGTCATGCACAAAGGTTTCAGTATGAGGCAACGTGCTAAATGCTCAGTCATTTGTGACAGGCGGTAAGAATAATTTAATTTAGCACGTAGCCTCATACTGAAGGTGTGAAGGTGGGATATTGAGAGCATTCTTTCTTTTTGGCAAATTTCTTTTTTACTATGTATATCCATTATTGGAATGTAACCTACACACAAAATAACTACTGTAACATATATAAAGTGAATCGACACTTACCTTCCGTTTGCAAAAGCTGTGAGTACGGCATTTTTACAAAGGAAAAATGCTGGTACATTGTATGTTTCAAAGATTAACTCTGTGAGCTTTTCACGTTTGGGTCGAACATTCCACTATTAAAATAATATTTCAATAAACATGTGTGAGGTCAGGATAAAATTAGTTTTTGATACTTTATTTTGTACTGATCAAAGAATCATTCATTCTTTGTGTTATTCATTATTTTAGTCATTCAAATTATTTATTTATCCATTCTATCAGTACGTCTATAAGTCAGTCCAGCCAGCCAGCCAGCCAGCCAGCAAGTCAGTCAGTCAGCCAGCCAGTCACTCAGCCAGTCAGTCCAGCCAGCCAGTCAGTCAGT